AAATTCTTAGGAATGAAATACCTAGTTTTCCCTTCACCCCCAAATTCTGAAAACTCTCTCTTCCTCTCTTTATTCCTATAACCTCTTGCTTTTTCAGTCTTTTTGCTTATCCCCTTGCCTTCTCTAATATAACTGATCTCTGCATTGGCTCTTACAGTGGTCGTTAAGATACTGTAAAGCTCTCTTGCTGTTAAATCCCAGCTTGACCTCACTATCTCTTAGGTGGCCCAACATTGCACAGTGCATTGTGAGGGCTGCTTCTTGCTTTCATTTCTTAACCCTTCCCCTCATCACAATGTCTACTTCCTTCCTTCCACTTCACTCCTTTGCTAAGGTTAAAGTCTGCCAGTGATCTCTCTGTAAGTCCAAAGGTTTTTTTTCTCTATTTTTATCTTCCCATTGGAGCTCCTGTCCTGAAGTGACTTTCCTCCTATAGTCACTTTCTTCAGGCCTTTCTCCTTCCTTTTCTGTCCCTACTCAAGGATTATCTCTTTCATAAAACTTTCTCTAAGGGTTGGGATATGCCTACCTCTTTTGAGTCCACAGTCAACCCAGGCATATCTCATCCCTTAACTATAGTTTGCCCCATTTTAAGTTGTTTAACCCTCTTTTGAATGAAGATGAAGTTGAAGGGGGAAAAGTAAAAAGTTGCAGGTAAACAATATTGAGAAGCCTCTACTTATAGTTTCAGAATAAACTCTTCAGATAAATTCAACAATCACAGGCCATACTATATTAGTAACAGAAGAGCTACAAAGTGAGGTCCATGGATCAGCAGCATCAGTGTCACCTGGGAGCTTGTTAGAAATTCTGAGTTGTGGCCCGGCGCGGTGGCTCAAGCCTGTAATCCCAGCACTTTGGGAGGCCGAGACAGGCGGATCACTAGGTCAGGAGATCGAGACCATCCTGGCTAACATGGTGAAACCCCGTCTCTACTAAAAAATACAAAAAACTAGCTGGGAGTGCTGGCAGGCGCGTGCAGTCCCAGCTACTCGGGAGGCTGAGGCAGGAGAATGGTGTAAACGCGGGAGGCGGAGCTTGCAGTGAGCTGAGATCAGGCCACTGCACTCCAGCCTGGGTGACAGAGCCAGACTCCGTCTCAAAACAAAAAACAAAAAAAAGAAATTATGAGTTGTAGGCTCCACCTCAGACCTGCTGAATCAGAATCTAGGTTTTTAATATAATCCTCAGTGATTCACATGTGCAATATAGTATAGGAAGCACTGGTCTAGTGGACCAGTGAATGTCTGCCAAGAAGGACCTCCATCAGAATGCCTCTAAGGACCTCTCGGGAACTTCAAACCAATGGTTTACACCTCTTGCTGGACAAGAGTGGCTGTCATAGCTATCAGCCCTTTGATGACAGCTACCAACTAATCTCCTGACTAGGTGGGTGGCTCCTTCCCTCATCATTCCAGGTACAGGCACATTCCTTTAAAGCTGCAAAAGAGTTTGAAGAATACAATCTTTCTCAGAGAAGACTGTTCCTCAACCAAGAGTGTAGGCAAAGATGTAGAATCATTGGTGAAGTGGACATATCCTACTAGGGGTTAGGAAACACTGTTTCTATCATCTTTCCTAACAAAAAAATATGTGAACAACATAGAATTCAAAGACAAGAAATATTTATATTCTTCCTTCTTTCACTCAGTAAACGTTTACTAAGCACTCGCTATGTGCCAAACACTATTCTAGGTGCTGAGGATACAGCAGGAAACAAAACAAAGTCCCAGTCTTAGTGGGGTTCACATTCTAGGGCAGCAGTCCCCAACCTTTTTGGCATCCGGGACCAGTTTCATGGAAGACAACTTTTCCACGAAAATTTTGCGGGAGGGGGGTTTCAGGATGAAATGTTTCCACTTCAAATCACAAGGCATTAGATTCTCATAAGGAATGTGCAACCTAGATCCCTTGTATGAGCAGTTCACAATAGGGTTCACACTCCTATGAGAACCTGATGCTGCTGCTGATCTGACAGGAGGCGGAGCTCTGGCGGTAATGATTGCATGCCACCCGCTGCTCACCTCCTACTATGTGGCCTGGTTCCTAACAGGACACAGACAGGGGGCCTCTATTCTAGCGCATAGAGATGGACAGCAAACAAGTACATAATATGGCCTGTAGTGATAGTGCTTCAAAGAAAAATAGAGCCAGGCACAGTGGCCCATGCCTGTAATCCCAGCATTTTGGGAGACTGAAGAGGAAGGGTCATTTGAACCCAGGAGTTTGGGACCAGCCTGGGCAATATAGGGAGACTGTCTCTACAAATAATAAAAAGATTAGCTGGGTGTGGTAGCATGCAGTGTGGTCCCAGCTACTTGGGAGGCTGACATAGGAGGACTGCTTGAGCTCAGGAGGTCAAGGCTTCAGTGAGCTGTGGTCATGCCACTGCACTCCTGGGCAACAGAGTGAGACCTTGTGTCAAAAAACTAAAGAAAGAAAGAAAAAGAAAAATAGAGCAGTGTAGCCAGTATTTAAGATGGGTGGTTAGGGAGGGTCTCTACAAGGTAAAGACAGTTGGGTATATACCTGCATGAAATGAGGAAGCAAGGCATTTAGGGGAAGAGAAGTCCAAGCAGAGGAAATGGCTAATGCAAAGGCCTTGAAGTAGGAACATGTTTAGGGTGTTCAAGGAACAGCAATAAGACCAATGGGCATGGTTGGAGCAGATTAAGCAACACAGAAAGTGTAATGAGATGAGGCTGGAGAGGTGAGTGGAGCCAAGTCATGTAGGGTCTTTAAGGAGCTTGGATTTTATGCCGAGGACAGTGGGGGCCATTGCAAGGTTTTCAGCAGAGGAGTGACATGATATGGTCTACATTTTAACAGAATGTCTCTGGGCTGGGTGTGATGACTCCCACCTGTAATACTAGCACTCTGGGAGGCCAAAGCTGATGGATTGCTTGAGTTCAGGGGTACAAGACCAGCCTGGGCAACATGGTGAAACCTCAATCTTTACAAAAATACAAAAAATTTGCTGGCCATGGTGGTATGTGCCTGTAGTCCCAGTTACTCAGGAGGCTGATGTGGGAGGATTGGTTGAGCCTGGGAGGTGGAGGTTGTAGTGTGCTGAGATCATGTCACTGGACTCCAGCTTGGGTGACAGGGCAAGACCTGGTCTCAAAAAAAAAAAGGTCTCTCTGGCTGCTGTATGGGGAATGCACTCTAACGGGGTAAGAGTGGAAGCAGGGAGCCGAATAGCAGGCTGCTGTAAGCGGGTGTGTGGTTGGTGAAGATTAGGGTGACCAACTGGTAGTGGTGAAAAAGGTTCCAACGATCTCAATTTCCCTACCAAATACTATTTAAAAAGTCATCACCAGGTAACTGGTGTGAATTTTTAAAAACTCTTGGAGGGGAAACTGATATAGAAAACAAAGTGTAGACATAATAGGGCTTCTCTGGGTTGAGCACTGTTAACAACACTCCCTGGGAATCAGTGTTATTTAACATTTCATAAAAGATTAAGAAAAAGGAGTATTTTGAGATATTTCTAGGTACACAAATTATACTTTGCTTTCTACATAGTAAAATGTCAAATCAATAGGGAACAGTTTCTGGAACATCTCTAAAACCATGTGTGTAAGCTGGAAAGTGGCAAGTATCTTGTCACATGGATGAGTGTATGGCAGCTCACATAGGGGAAGACAATCCAGAGGATACCTTTAAGACAATGAACTCTGAATTGCTGGTTGCCACCAAGGTAAGGAATCTAGAAGTTGTTTTAGATTACTCCTTCAAGACATCAACTCTTCTAAAGCCCAAACAGCCAGCAAAAGTTCTGGCTGTCCAGAATAAAGACAAAACATCAACCTTAACAAAGCCTCAGTACATCCCTCTTTGGGCTTAGTGTGCAGTGCTGGTCACTGCATCCTAAGAAAAAAAAGTGCCAGAGAATGGCAGGTAAAATGATTAAAAGAATACAGGGACTTTCTCTTTCTTTTTTTTCCTGGGTTAAATGCCCATGAAGAAAATAAGATGAAAGTTTATAAAAGCATGAAAGATTCAGAAGAAGTAAAAATAGCCCTCGTCATCCAATCCTATAATTCTAAAATTAGGGGACAAAAGAAGCTTGAAAATGGGAGTAATGTAGAAACCGTCGTTGGAGGACATACCCGTCGGGGGTCGGGTCTTTATGTATTCTCCAATATGTGGAAGTACATGTGGTAGCTGTAAATGGAGGGTGGGGGTGGGAGTGGGGGACACGCAGCCCACCTCAACAGTCCTTCGATGGGACAAAAACCACTCTGGACTGGTGCCCGCTTTCCCTCTCTCCCCAAATCACCACGGAATACAACCACAGAAACTCAAAAACAGCAAAAAACACCGACAAGACATTCAAAGGATTCAAAATGCTAATATTAAATCTCATTGTCTGGGAAAATTAGACTGAAAATAAATTCAAGGGTGCAAGATTTATAACAGATTAACAAGGGAAATTAAGGATGTTGGTGGGGCCGGGAGGAGATACATCCTTAACTTTGTGATTCACAAGATGGAGCTATACTGTGTCCTGCAAAGAAATCGTATTTGGTAATCTGAGTTGGACAGCTATGATAAACCATTTCCTATACACCGTTAGCATAGTCAGAAAGTGAGAGTTATGTATTGACATAGGGATTAGATCATTTGAATTTTTCACCCACAGCACAAGTCCTTCAATCGTTTTCAATAAACAGAGGGAGAGGGAGACTCTGATGAACCGTTGCTCACGTGTTGAGCAGTTAGCAATCCCGGGCTATCGGGTCCCTGCTGACCTTCAGAAAAACGAATGGACATCTAAACGGAACGAGGAAGGGAGGGTAATAACCAGAGTGTCATTGAGTTGAGAGATGTTAAAAATGGGCCACAACAAACACATGGGCCTTTACTTTTAGGTCAAAGATTCCTATATATAAATACATAGTATGCTCTCTCTTGCCAAAAAATATTAGACTCAGGAACGTCATTCCTCACGAAGAAGATAATCCCCTCTCTTCCTTCCCATAGGTCCCTTACTTTACCTGCTTCTTCCCTCTTGCGGGTTAGGAACTTTGAGTCCCGCCTCTCTGCTCGTCCAAGCTCCGCCTTCCCCGTCCACCTGTGTGCCCAGACCCTGACGTTACCGCTTGGCTTCAGCGGCCTGCAGGATTCCGGCTCCCGATTGGTCGGCCCGTCCACGGCTTGCGCAGCCCACCAATGGCAGCGGTGCTGGGTGGAGGGGTGCCCACATCCAAGATGGCGTCCCCAGGAGCTGGGAGCGGGTGACCGGCGGCGGGGAAGCGGCCTGGGTTGGCCCTCAGATTGCGGGGTCTGGGGGCATCTCGCCAGGCAACCCCTTGGCCCGCCTACAAGGCCTTCCCCCTGCCAGAGCAATGGCCGCTGAGAACAGCAAGCAGTTTTGGAAGAGGAGCGCTAAGCTGCCGGGGAGGTGAGCCCAGGACGCTGAGAGGGAGAGGGGATTGGACCAAACCCTTCCAGATCCGAATCCCTAAATCCCGCGGCCCTGGGACGCCACCGAGGCCGGAAGACTGGTTTGGGGAAGCTGGGGCTGCCTGGTGGCGGCAGGGCAGCTGTCAGGCAGAGGAGCGAACAGCGAGCTTTGGGGACGGCTGGATGTGGGTGTAGACCGGGGTCTGGGGGCGGAGGTTTCTGGAGGGGTGACCTCAGCGAGAAGGTGGCCGAAGATTGGGCGTAAAGGGGAGTGGAGTTGGGTGAGTAGTCAGTGTCGGCCCTGGTCTCGGGGGTTCCTCCCCAGAGCTGCTTCCCACTCTAATTAGGACTCCCTCTCAGGGGTCTCCACCACGCACAGGTGGTTGGTCGCTCGAGGATGGCTTGCTCCCCCAGCTCGGCACTTACCCGAAGGGTTCTGGTGGGAGTTTGGGGTCGCCTGCCGAGAGGGTTAGGCAGGAAAAGTGAGGACAATTCTGGACTCCGACCTTACTTTATCTTGAGTTGGCCTTTCCCACTAGGAATTATTACAAGGCGACCACAGAATCAGGTTATTCCTTTGGCATTTTCTAAGGATTTGTCCAACCCCAAGTGACTTCTTCCTCCCCTGTATTGTAATGCACTTCTTGTGCAAATGCACTAAATTCTTTCATTCTTCAGTTGTTTAGCTGGAGAGCAGACCTCCTAAGACTACTCCCACCCTCTTTGTGGTATATGTTGAGACTTTTGGCAAATTATCCATTCATCAGTCTACTGTTGGTTTACTGTTTTAGTTTATTTTGGGCAAAGTCCTGAGAAGTATAAGGAAGAATGTGTATTTCAGTCGTGAATCTAAGATTTCTGCCAGCCACAGTCTACTTGGTGATGAAATTCATGTTTGGTTGTGCCCCACGTGCTACCTTTTCTAATATTCAGGTTTTTTCTTTCTGGGATGATCTTTTGAACTCGTGACTTTTTTTTTTTTTTTTTTTTAAGTAAGAGGGAGATGGGGGTCAATAGTGTCTAAGTTAGAGCCTTACTTTTTTTTTTTTTTCCCCAATGAAATAGAAACAAGGTCTGACTATGTTTGGGCTGGTCTGTAACTCCTGGCCTCAAGTGATCCTCTTGCCTTGGCCTCCCAAAGTGTTGGGATTGTGGGCATTAGCCACCATGCCCCGCCAAGAGTCTTGTTTTATTAAGGATCCTAGTAGACATATGGAAAATAGGTGGAAATCAGCTTTTAGTAATACTTATTAAATAATAGAAAGATAACTTCAGATTAAAGTGCTGCGGACTTGCGGTGTTGATATAACTGTTAAAGATGTTCTGTGTTTTTAGGTAAGCACCACTTCCTGCCAACTGATTCCTTTTCCTTCCTGGTTTAGTGAGCTCTCTAGTTGTGCTAACTGCTATTCTCTGGGGTTTTCCACAGTGAGATCATTAAATTTTGACATCCTAAGATTATAATCAGAATCAATAGGAAGACAGTTGTATCAGGAAGCAGTGCAAGAGATGTGGGACATGGCATGGGCTTCTGTGCCTTCTGACTGGTGGTTGCTATTAACAATCTTTTTTTCCTGTATTTCCTGTATTTGACTATAAGAACAGTCAGCTTTTTAAAAGCACTGCTTTTCTGAGATAGGAAGAGAAGTCTTTTCAGTTTCTTCAAGCTTCTGGATTCCCTTTTCATTTTGAAGAATATAGAGAAATAGAGAACTTTTGAGTTCAGAAAGACTTGGGTTACTATTTGGGCTCTCCTGTGTGTGTGACCAAGACAAATAATCTATCTAGGCCTCAGTTTCCTTATCTATGAAATGAGAAATAAAAATACCTTCCTCAGAGTTACTGTGGGGACTAAGTGAAATACCCTATTTGTAAAGAACCTAGGACAGTGTTTATTTAGCACATTATAGTTGCTCAGAAGACAGTAGTTATTAATATTACTGTCATTATTAGAGCAAGTAAACATTTAAAAGAATGTTACTCAGATCCTTACCCCAGCTCATTGTCTTCCTTGTTTGTTTTAAGGTATTCAAATATTGTCACAATTAATAATAATTTTTAGTACCTTACTTGGTAAAGAGAAATATTTTTCAGCTGTGTGCTTTTAGCAGTAAAGCCCATGAGCCTCTGGTCGTGGGAGAAAACTAAGGTTCTTTTAGATAGAAAGGTACTTTGATTTAAAGAAAATATTAGAGCATTTTCTCAAGAATAGAACTTTTGCATCTGTACTCTTTCGGTCTTAGGGAAGAAAAACTTTCTCCTGGGTGGGGAAATGACACAAATGACTGTACTAGACGCATGGCAACTTGGAAATGTAACTGCTTTACTCTTCATTGCAAATTGAAAGGTGAAAAATCAAAGCGATGACAAGATTCTTTCTGTCTGATCATGATCCAACAACCTTAGTGACAACAAATAAAAATTTTATTACATAAAATAACAAGTTACAAATGAATGAAACATTCTTTTTAAAAATAACAGCTTTATTGAGATATTAATATACCATGAAATTCATTCTTTTAAAGTGTACATTTCAGTGGTATTTAGTATATTCATTTATAGTACAGATGGTTTTGTGCAACTATCGCCACTAATTTCAAAACATTTTCATCATCCCGAAAAGAAACTACATACCTGTTTACAGTCACTCCCCATCTACCCCACTCCAGACCCTGGTAACTACTACTTTCTGTTTCTGTGGATTTACCTCTTTTGGACATTTTATATATATGGAGTAATATGATATGTGAGGCCTTTTGTGAGTGGCTTCTTTTACTAAGCACAGTGATTTCAGGCTTGTCCACGCTGTGGTATGTATCAGTGCTTCTTTTTATTTTATAGCTGAATAGTGTTCTATGGTGTAGATATATCACATTTTGTTCATTCATCAGTTGATGGACATTTGAATTGTTTTCACTTTTGGGCTATTGTGAATAATGCTTTTATGAACATTTATGCACAGGTTTTTGTTTGGATATATATTTTCTATTCTTCTCCTATAAATAGGAGTGGAATTGCTGGGTCATGTGGTAACTTGGTGGAACTAAACATCTTTTTAAGTTCTCTGAGTTATTCACATGAGCCCTGTGTACTTAGCACATCAAATGGTCATTGTGTTGATGCCTAGAAGATAAGAGGCAATCTGTACCATTGTTAAGAATGCAGGCTTTGGCGGGTGTGGTGGTCTGTAATCCCAGAATTTTGGAAGGCTGAGGAGAGTAGATCACTTGAGGCCAGGAGTTCGAGACCAGCCTGGCCAACGTGGTAAAACTCCCATCTCTACTGAAAATACAAGTTAGCTGGGCATGGTGGTGTGCCCCTGTAGTCTCAGCTACTCAGGAGACTGATGCCCAAGAATCTCTTGAACCTGGGAGGCGGAGGTTGCAGTGAACTGAGATTGTGTCACTACGCTCCAGCCCTGGGCAACAGAGCGAGGGTCCGTCTCAAAAAAAAAAAAAAAAAAAAAATGCAGGCTCTGAAATCCGGCTGCCTAGGTTCAAATCCCAGCTCTACTTTCTAGCTATGTGATCTTAAGGGATTTAATTAACTCCTCAGTGCATCGGTCTCCTCATCTCTAAAATAGGGACAGAGTATCTGCCCCATGGGGCTGTTATGAGTATTAAATGAGATAATACATAATAATTGGTTAGGAGGTATACAATAATATTAGCTATTACAAGAATGATAGTTACAATGATAGTAGCTATCATTTTTGTTTTCTCTCCTTGCTTTAGTTTTTGAAACTGAAATTGAAAAGCTTTGATCTGGCTGAGTGTGGTGGCTCACACCTGTAATCCCAGCACTTTGGGAGGCTGAGACAGGCAAATCATTTGAGGTCAGGAGTTCGAGACCAGCCTGGCCAACATGGTGAAACTCTGTGTCTACTAAAAACACACAAAAAAATTAGCTGAGCGTGGTGGCGCAAACCTGTGGGGGGAAAAAAAGCTTTGATCAGTGTGTGTGTGTGTGTGTGTGTGTGTGTGTGTGTGTCTAGAGCCTGGGCACAGGAGAAAGAAAAAATCACTTTATTTATTTTTTTTTGAGACAGGGTCTCCATCTGTTGCCCTGGCTGGAGTGCAGTGGCCTGGTCTTGGCTCACTGCAGCCTCTGCCTCCCAGGTTTAGACAATTCTCCTGCCTCAGCCTCCTAAGTAGCTGGGATTACAGGCACATGCCACCATGCCCAGCTAATTTTTGTATTTTTACTAGAGAAGGGGGTTTTGCCATGTTGGCCAGGCTGGTCTTAAACTCTTGACCTCAAGTGATCCAGCCCCCACTCAGCCTCCCAAAGTTCTGAGATTACAGGTGTGAGCCACCGTGCCCAGCTCTGGCTAATTTTTGTATTTTTCGTAGAGACAAGTTTTGCCATGTTGCCCAGGCTGGTCATGAACTCCTGGGCTCAAGCAGTCTGCCCACGTCATCCTCCCAAAGTGTTGGGATTACAGGCGTGAGCCTCTGTGTCTGGCCAAAATCCAAATTACCTGAGTCTTCCAGGCCCTTCATTGTTGGAAGGAGAGGCCAAGTTAAGGACTTGAACCCAATCCTAAAGTAATAATGAATCTGACAGGAGACTTAGTGTAAAAGTCATAGCCTGTCTGGGCAGGTACATTACAACCTGTTCTTGGCTTGGAGATGTTTTACTGGTAGAGTGAGTGACTAGAAGATACCAAATTATCATTGAAGCAGCATAGATCACCTGTTCTGGAAGACTAATGTGGAGTGAGTATGTGAACCTAGATCAGTTGCCAACACATTTGGCATTTAAATTTGATAGGTCTTTTTCCCATGTTTGTACTAGCTGTTTTATCAGTGCTAAACAGACACCTGTTGATTTTTCCTACCAAGATGTTTGCACTGTTCCAACTAGTCAAAACAGCTATGTCAGTACATTTTATGGTGTTGGTTTTATTAAAGAGAGTGACGGAGGTTAATCAGAACTTTTGTTCCATTTTGTCTGTGTGACAGCATATTCCATGGCATTCTTTTCTCTGCATATGTGGTGTGTTTTCTTCAAGATGCAGTGTGTTAACCTCTGGTTTTTAGGTCTAGCTTAAGCAGAGGCCTAGGTTTTGTAGAGATCTAATCTTCACTTACTAAATATTGTTAAGTGCCTGCTGATATGTGTCATGCTCTGCCAGGTGGCAAGGGGGCTACAGAAAAAGATATGGCACCACTAAAAAATCTGCTTGGCATCATGGCTTCCCGGGAGAAGAGGCTGTGTATGATTGACTTTCTGGTTTTTCCACTAAACATATGTTACATTTGTAATCAGA